GAATGTATAACTAAAATAAAAAATTTTCATCGATTTTAGACAGGTGGTTGTCGAGACATCCTCTCTCAAAGTTTGAAAAAAATTACATTTAGATTATTGATTCGTCCAATCAGAATGTTGGTGTTCAAGTAGAATCGACTCTTTAGATCTAGATCTTCAAGATCTAGATCTTTGTTTTTATTGTTTTTGTTTTCATTTTCATTTTTAGCTTTTTTTTTATTTATTTTTTATTATCTCTCTTCTTTTACATTTTTTCTTGAACTAACATTCTTTTTTTTTGCTTTCTATATGTAATTTTAGCGTTACCGGAGTCGTAGTTCTTGGAACTGTCATCACTGGAGCCGTCGTGATTGTCTTTGGAGTTTTCGTCGTCGTCTTTGGAGTCTTCGTAGTCTTTCGTTGCCGAACTTTTTGGGTAAGTAATTTAATTGTTGTTTATTATTATATTTTTCCAACTTTTGCTAACACTTATGGAACTTTTGCCCGGACTTTTTCTTGAACTTTTGTTTGACTTTCGTTTGAACTTTTGCTTGAATTTTCTTTGGACTTTCTCTTGGATTTTCGTTTGGACTTTCGCTTGGACTTTCGCTTGGATTTTCTTGGACTTTCTCTTGGACTTGGATTTTTTGACCTCTCTTGGATTTTTGCTTGGATTTCTTGGACTTTCTCTTGGACTTTCGCTTGAATTTTCGCTTGGACTTTCGTTTAGACTTTCGTTTGGAGTCTTTTTTTTTCGATTTTTGTTTCCTTTTGTTTCTTTTTTTTTTCGTCTCTTTTTCGCTTCGTTCTTTTTTTTTTTTATTTGCCGTTCCTTTTTCTTTCATTTTCACTTCATTATTGCTTTTTTTTTTCTTTTATTATTATTATCCTTTCTTTTTTCTTTTCTTTTTTTTTCATTGACTTTTTTTTTTTTTCTTTTTGGTTGTTTTTTTTTCGTCTTCTTGAACTAACATTCTTTTTTTTTTTTCTAGATGTAATTTTAGCATTGCCGGAGTCGTAGTTCTTTGAACTAACGTCGCTGGAGCCGTCGTCATTATCTTTGGAGTCTTCGTCGGGTAAGTAATTTAATTGTGTTTATTATTGTCTTTTTACCAACTTTTTCTAACACTTATGGAACTTTCGCCTGGACTTTTTCTTGAACTTTCGCTTGACTTCGTTTGACTTGGATTTTCGTTTGAACCTTCGCTTGACTTTCGTTTTAACTTTTGCTTGAATTTTCTTTGGACCTTTTCTTAGATTTCATTTGGACTTTCGCTTGGACTTTCGCTTGGATTTTCTTGGACTGTCGCTTGGACTTTTTCTTGGACTTTCGCTTGGATTTTCACTTAGATTTTCGTTTGAACTTTCGCTTGGTGTTTTTGTATCGGAATTATTTCGTCGTTTATATAAATAAGCGGGTTGGCGTTGGGTGAATTCTAGTCTAGTCTAAGTGGGTGGCTGGGCGGTTTTTTTTTTTTTGTATATTGCCAAAGATGTTTATAATATATTCGTTGTATAATGATGTTTTTTTTTAAATAAAATATTTAAAATTTTAATTGTTTGTTATATAATAAAACCCATGGTATAAGAACTACATATAATTGTCATTATCAAAACCCGTGCCATTTGGACTAGTAAAAATGTTACAAACCCGATCCAATTGGCACTATGATACGGTCCATCACGGGCCAAAAAAATCTGTCCAATTCAAACCTATACGTACAAATCAGGGCCATCTGAGCCCGTGCCATACATGTCCAACTCGAACCAAAACCCGTACCAATTGGACTAGTAAAGTGTTGCAAAACCCGAGTCATTAACGGTCCAGTTGGCACTGGTGTACGTTCCAACACGAACCAACAAATCCGTGCCAATCCGAACTTCCCACGTACAAAACCCGTTTCTTATCCGTGCCACCAAAACCCATGCCATCCCGAAACCACCCCGTGCCATCACGATCCAATTTTCTTATAGGG